ATTTATATATGTGAAAATTTGATTATAATTCATTTATTATATATTATGGGTGCATCCAAAGTCAAAATTTTATTTTTTAAAAAAATACTAATTTATTATTGAAATTTACTAAATCTAGTTTGGCCGCACAATGTCTAAGCAGAATCATTAACTTATACCTAAAAATTTATTATAAATTAGGAGTTAATCAATAACAAAATTGTCTGATATTTACAGGATAAGTATATTCTACACATTTTGGAATGCATTTCCAGTCAACTTAAATTTTTCAAATTTAAAAATTTCCATCAGTAAATGATATCAAATCAGAAGATTACGAATCTCCATGGATCCATATCCCAATAACATATATATATATATAATACCTATTTAAAAAAAATTATGTACTAGTTATTCCGTTTTAAATAGGTATATAAATATAAAGTAATAAAATTTGATTAAGCAAAATATTACATATGATATATATATCGATTCAATATATATATACCTAACTTTTACTATTTATTACACCTAAAATTAAACCATAATTAAAAAAAAAATGCTTATTAAACCAAAAATCTTTATATTATCTAACAAACAAAAAAGCAATAATAATTATAACATGGCAAAAAAAAGATTGTAGATATTTTATACTAGATAGAGACTCCATTGTTTTTATTTAAATTATTACCTTTATAATTATATTAAATTTTAATGTGAAAAGGAGGGGTAAGGGAAAGGTTGTCATTTCCAATTAACTTAATGAATTTAATTTTACAGATAAGGTTTTTTATACTCTATTTAACAATTTTAAAATAATGAATAATACGCTATATTATTTTTTTTTCCCTAGGAGGGTAGATAAATTAAATCTAAATGCATAGTGCAGTATTCCACTTAGAGTTCTAATCCTAATATTTTAATCTGAAGTTGGAAAACTTCTGTCTTCTCGTATTAACAAGATAGACGGACTCTAATGGTAACTAAAAAAAATTTAACTTTATAAATTATTTCGAGTCGCAAATAGTCATTTTTTTTTAAATTTGGAAAATTTTCAAATATCATTCTTAATTTTTTTTAAAAAAGATGCTTTGTTCAACGTAGTTTTAAAATTAACTTTAATTTTAGATATAAATCGTAAATAGATTTATTAAGTAGAGGAGAGAAAGATAAGTGCACGCATTTAATTCCCATATGCTGATAGATTTTCTTTTAAGAGAAAACGAATTTTAACCTATAAAAAATTATATCTAATTTAAGTCTAAATTTCTATAATGTAGTATTTAGATCATTTATTAGGGCTTTTTGAAAATAATGATTTTACCGGAAAATCGTATTATATAACCTGTATAAAGTTCTTATCCTTTGACTTTCAGACAATTCTGCCATAAATCTTTCTCGTTTTTTTTAAAATAAATTTATATGAAAAACCAAGATATAGTTCACTTTTCCATCACTCTATCCATTTTACCAAATTTATACACTTATTTTTTCTCAAAGAGTATATTCCTTAATTTTTTGTTTTTGATTAGTTAATGAAAATGTTTATTACTTGATAATTCTCTTCTTCAGCAAAAAGTACCCATCATTTTGAAATTAACTCATACGACTCATGGGCAGGGTTTTCAGGTCATACGTTAAAAAAATTTTACCCTGCATTCATAGTTAGCGCGAAACGAAGTTTATGGAAATATATTATATTTTGTACACTTCGCCACGAATTGGTGATACCTGTGAATGCCAGGTTACGGTACTTCTAAGGTGTTTTTCTTAACATTTTATTTACTTTATTTACATTCAACATTGGAAGTTGGGTTTACACTAAATTTTAATCACCTTTAATAATGTTAGTAAATAAAAGTATCCATATTAAAACAAATAAATCAACCCGTGTTTTTTTTCTGATTGCCTTTTAATCAATTTTATTAATCGGTAAATTCATTAAGTTCAACCTTCAAGAGGCATGGGAGTTAAAAATCCCCCCCCCCCACCACTATTTTTGATATCTATGCAAAATTAAAATGGAGATATTTTACCCTTGTTTTCTTTGAGTTTTCATGTAATAAGACAAAGTTAATATGTGATATTTCGTTAGTATTCATTACTATATATGTTTTATGGAACATTTTTGACCCTTTGGGGTAAATCATTCCCCACGTCTCTCTTACAATAATCATATTATACCATATCCTAATAATCATTTATATACAAACAAAAAACAATATATACCTATAGGCTACACAGAAATAAACTTGTTATTTTTTTCTATTTTAGTGCTTTTATCTTATCAGGTGGCATGCTCCTTCAGTATTTCTTTCTATTTTATATTGTTCATATAATCTATTATACTTAATTTATATTTTTACGATATTTTAACTTTATGAACCCGTTGAAGTTTTTGCCTGCCATTTTTCCATTTTCCCATCACCTTTAAACTTGCAAACTTTGTTTCCGATATATTTTTGGTGTTTTCTCATCCTATATCTATACCATCTTAGTCTAATTTTTCCTGATTTTTTATTATTATGGGTTGTTTCGTATCTTATCCTTTTGGCTACTCCAGCTATCATCCTCTGTCTTCCCATCTTTATCTGTATACTTCTCTCTGGTGATTCTCCCATATCTGCCATTTATAATTATATTATTTTAATATCGGATCTTTACATTTAAGGAACCGGTTCCTCGAGTAAGCTTGTTTCTAATCAACCTCCGTAGATTTTTTTGAATTAAACAAATATTTCGCGGGAACTGATGGAGCTAAGTCCAGCTAGCGCTTTACAGAGTCTTGTTGGAAGTGGAGTAACCAGGATTTATCCATGGGGGGGGGGGAGGGGGGGGGAGTTAAAAATCTTCTACGGCTGAGTCATATAATAGCTCTTTGCATAGTTATCTTAATATCATCTTCGTTAAAGTTGGCTAAACAATTGTAATATCTCTTATTAGTGTCTGACTTTAACCAGTCATGCATAAAAGAAAATAATTAGTAAGATTTAGACCAACCCTACGATTAAAAAGTGGCTGAATGATAGTAGGAATGCTTGGTGCTTATTTGTAAATTAACTTACGTTTGGTATACAGTATTAAGAAAAAATAATTGGCATTATGTTAGAATGGAAAACATTTAAAAAAACTAAATCTGACGTGCGCTATATTGACTGACTAGTAAATTTAATTCCTCAATCAAATATGAGAACCGCAAAAATAGACTGAGTTATAAACAAAATAAAAATATCGTCACTCTTTAAGCATGGTCAAGCTTTTGAAATTTCCGGCCACTTATACGAAATCATTGTTGGGCATTATTAGAATATTTTATCGTTTTAATCTATCTGTTAGATGGTTGGGGAAAAAAATTATTAGGGAAAGAAAATTGTAAAGCATCATGACAGAACGGAGAATTTAGACAGAGATATGAAAACATTATCCCTATTTATGTCAATAAATAGGTATTTCGTACATTTTAGTGTTTATACCTTTGATTTTAAGGAAAAACATTATTTGCAAAATAAAAATATATTTTCAAGATTGATATGCATGAAGAAAAATTATAGAAGCAATAAACAATTTATGTAATTTTTGATTAGTACCTATTTACTAATCATCAATCAGTTTTTTTAATCAATAAATAAAAACCAGTTATAAGCGAAATAAAAACTATGGCACGCTTTAGACTGAATATATGTGAATTTTATTAAGATTTAAAAATCAATTATGTCTAAATACATTAAAGTATTTATTCGCCCAATTCAAAATATTATTGATTATCATTCAATGTTAATCATGGATGTTGTTATTTGTTTATTTCAGTTAATTAGATAGGTGTAGAAGTAAAATAGTTTATTTCACGAATATTCTGAAAAATATGAAATGATTCAGACTCGATGTGGCTTTGATATTTTATATTTAATAGCGGTGACATAAAAAGTTAGTCAAATTGACTTGTGGCATTTTTAAAAATTGTGATATCAAAATAAGATGGATTGGTTGTGGGAGAATCGGAAAAGGCTAACGAAGTAACGAGGCTTCATCAACCGATGGAAGAGCATAATTTCGAGGTGAAACAGCAGGAACAATTGAATTCTCTCCAATCAGTCCTTATGAGTGTCAATTATTTATTAGCAAAAGGGACAATTATATTTTTAATAATTTTTTTATTGATTTAAAAAATTTCGAATATTAAAATTTACAAACTAAAATATCAGATCCTGGCAAACATACAAATTAGTCACTTTTATAGAAAAAATAAAAGGCACAATTATAAATTAAAATAAAATTGACGCAAAGTGGAAAAAGGAACGTTTTTGCGAAAAAGAGTTTTATTAGTTTTACCATCCCCGTATACTTTTCAGAACTCTAATTATACCTCCGGATTTAGGATGATCTCCGGGTCCTAACTACCTAATAATAAATTAAAACCTTGGAAAGGAAACCTTACTAAAGAAAGTAATCCAAAAGTATGATAACCTCTAATTAAAAGAAAAGACAAATGCCATGTGTTTTAATTTTTGTAATTAAATCTAAAGAAAAAGGGGATTTAATAAGAAAGTATTTTTTAATAAAAAAAATAACCCTAAGGGCAAAAATTTAAATAAATTTAAGACAATATTTAACAGTTATAATAACTAATTTTTTACCCTTAAGCGCTAAAGTTGATAGCAAAGTAATATTAATTCTAAGTATTTACAATTGAAAATAGAAAAGGTCAAACGTCCATCCCATACAAATTTTAGCATCTTCCGGAAGCGTTCCATTCATTAAATTTTTGTGTTCTTAATATCCCTCATTCGTAAATTTTTAAGATATTTTTACTCACCTTTTTTATATTGAAGAAGAAATTTCCTAAATGATTTTATAAAATTAGAAAATTAAGGTTAGGGGTGGGGGTGCGGAAGGGTAGTTATCAATTAAGAAATGAAAGCAAATTATCATATAGATATCAATGCAAAAGTATTATAATAACAAAAACTCAATCATATTTTTTCAAGTTGTTCTTCTAGTCAATTCATTGATCCTGTTTAACATGTAGCTAAATCGTCTATCACTTTAAATTTTCTCAGCTGTATTTTTTTTTAGTTATTGGCAGGTAAAAAAAATTAAACATGGGTAACAAAGTAAACCGTGCTCATTTGGAGGGTGCCAAAAAAACTGGTTGCTTAAATTTATCCGATTCAAATATGAAAGAGGTTAATGTTTTTTGTAATTTTTTTATAAATATGTTATTTTATTTAGTTACCTCCTCAACTTATAAGAATGGCTGATTGTCTAAGAAATTTAGATATATCCCATAATAAATTAAATAAATTACCTTCAAATATGGAAACCTTTGTAACTTTAAAAATTCTTAATATATCTTTTTGTAATTTAAGTAAATAATATGATTCAATTGTTTGTTAATTATTTAAAAATAGAGGAATTGCCAAATTCAATAAATACACTTGTAAAACTTGAAAATTTGATTGCAAACAATAATGATATAGCACAATTGCCAGACACATTTGTAGCCTTAAAAAATTTGAAAAATTTATCACTTAATCTTAATAAATTTAAAATGTTTCCACAACAAATATTATCACTAGGCTCATTAACTACTTTGGATTTATCTAACAATCTAATTGTAAAATTACCGAATGAAATTGAATTAATACAATGCATTGAAATAAATCTCAACTATAATCAAGTAATATTAATATAAAATATTATTTAGATTTATGATTTAGTTGACTCAACTCCCTGAGGGTTTATCAAAATGCCCAAGATTAAAAGTTATAAGGTTAGAACATAATAGCCTTACACCCCACTCAATCCCTCCTTCAATATTTAGAGACTCTACACTCTGTATTATTTCCTTAGATGGTAACAAATTTTTGCACAAAGATCTACAAAATTCACCTGGTTATAGTGAGGTTTTAATTTTAAACAATTTAAAACATTATAAATGATAAAAGAATGAGTTTTATTTAAGTCCCAGATTAAATAAATCAAAAGGTATTTTTATTTACTTAGAATTATTATCAACTTTCCAGAGAATAGATCTGGTTCTATTGATTTAGGTAATTTAAATTAATGCTGCTAAATTATTGTAGATCATGAAGTGAGAATAACTAAAGAGGGATAGAGCTTCACAAATGGTAAATTAATAAAAATTAAAGGCCAAATTTTTTTTCAAAAACAAATTAAATAGTCCATACCAAACTTTTTGCAAAATTTTAATAGGTTGCCAGTAAATTAGTAAAAACAAATTATTGGGCCTGGATAGACCATTTAAATAATGGGTCAAGCTGAGTAACTTGCACAAAAAATCTTAATGGGTTAATAGAAACATATTTTTAAATAGTTTTCATCTATTTAAACAGAGTTGGATAGTACCATGAATACTTGTATCTAAGACATAGATCCTTTTGTATCATGTACACACTATCTTTTTGGCTTTTTTAATAAGATATTAGTATCTTTATCTAAGATCCTTTATTCAGAAAAGAATCTTCTATCTTTTTAATTTTCTTGACAAAAGATACAGATTGAATTTAATTAACCTATAAAATAATGTATATATTTTAAATACTCCTTTGTAAATTAATAAACTCCCATTAAAAATACTATTCTCCCATCCCTAGCTATGAGAATGGGCTAATACTAATTCTAAAATGCCTGATTATTATAATTAACTCATCACTAAATATTTTATTAATTATTGTAAATTTTCATTCTTAATATATGTGTATGTTATGTTCTTCACAAATAAATAATAAAAAGTTATGAACTATTCTAATTTAATTGGTAACGATAATATAAAAGTATCTTGTATTTAAGATGCTCTAATTTAGCAAAAGATACTATAGAATCTCTATCTAGATTCTTTTTCTAGAGGACCAGCCCAACTCTGAACTTGAAATAAATCAAAAATATATCAAAATTTTAGAGGCCCGTATATATATACATGAATTGTCCTGCCCCGATTCGTTATTTTTTTATGTACATATTGCATGGCCCAACCTAGACTATTAAATTTTTTTGTGTCGCCTCTGTCTTGTTATAAATTTTTTGCTGATTTCTTGGACTAAATTTATAAAGCTATCCAGTTGTATTTGCTTTACACTAGTAAGAGTTCAAAGATAAATATATATAAAATATCAAATAAAATAAGAATATTTATATAAATGTTAGGAAACAGGCTTAGGTTAATGGTTCCTATATAATCGCAGAGAATTTAAGACTGAAATGCAAGAATAAAAAAACCCTTAAATCCTCAGAGTCAGGGTTGTATTCATTTTTTGGCCAATTGTCGATCAGAACTAAAACCAATCCGAAAGGGATTTTCACATTGATTTATAATTTTTACCTAAATGATATTTTATCTTACCTATGTTGCATGAGCAAAGTCAAGAAATAATAAAATGCCTTTTTATGTCGTTTAGAAATGTATATAAATCTTTAGTTTAAGAAGAAAAAAAGTTTAAATATTGTCTTCATGCAAATCTCAACTCCTTCATAAATGCTTATTTAGTCATATTGAAAACCTCAATTTATACCTTTTTTTACAAAACGGCTAATTCACAAAAAAAAAATTACCCGATCCTAAAGATTTGGTTAAAATAGAGCCACATTTTTTCTGCCTATCTGTATGCCGAATCTTGTGGCTAAAGGGTAATTCCATGGCATATTAACTCGAATACGATTTTCGTACGGCCCTTATAAAAAAAAAGAATGAAACGGCATATTTGGTTTTATATAGTGTGCATATTTTATGCAAATTAAAAATTTTAAAGCTCTAGTTCGAATAAATCGGTAGTTATGGACCTTCAAAGTCCAATAAGAAGCATTTTCATTTTTAACAATATTTTTAGTCTAAAGTCGTAAATTATATATTAATTTTCGTAGCTCCCAAAATACTCCTCAAGGAAATACCAATATTATTTTGAAAAAGGGGGGCTCATTTGAAACGGTGAAACTCGCCAAATATATTTATTACCAATATATTTAATTAAGTGAAAAATATTAATGGAGAAGATAAGAGAGTTCACATTTGATATAATTTTAGGAATAAATAAAAAAAAATCGATTATAAAGAGCGTTTATTTTTCTCGGGAATGCATTCGCTATAATGTTTTCGCTATTACAGATTCTCCCTTAGCGCATTTGCGGTAATACATTCTCCTTAATGCATTCGCGATATTGTGGTAATGGCACTTGTTCGCTTCTCAAACCCATACAATGATAATAATGACCCATTATTCGCCCTAATTTTATGCTAAATTGGCTTTATATTTACGTATCCGGATCTAAAGAGCAGTTAGGTAACCTATTGGTAAAGTTGACTAGCGTTGTTAAATGACTCGATTTGAACCGATTTTTAAAAACGGCTAACTCAAGATTTTAGCCGGAAAAACATTGCCAAAGCCTTGAGATATCGCTAATAGATGTCCAAACCTTTTGTGCCATCTATGAGCAAAATCTTCAGGCTTACGTTATTTTCTTTTGGATGAAATATTGAGTTAGCTGTGTTTAAGACTAATCTAATGACCCAACAAAGTATCGTATACTTAAAGAACAGCTTCTGCTTTAGTAGATTATTTTTTTGGAAATAAGTGATAGTAATGCAATTAAAAATTCTTTTGACATTTTTTAAATCTAAAAATACTAAAATCCGCACATTTCTAGTAGTAACGTCCCTTAGGGGAACCTACACGGACTCGAGACCCTCGAAAATTTAATTTTTTTAGATTATAACTTTAAAAAAATCGTTTTTTTTAGTTGAACCCCCTGAGATTGTAAAGGCTACTAGCGCCACTGGTAGCTAGATAGATTTGAAAAGTATCTTTTAACAATTCTTATTGTGAAGTTTGATTATTTTTTTGCGGGGAATATGATGTATATTGTATTTTGAACTCGAATTTATAGTATTTTTTAAAGGGAAATAAAACTATTTATACATAATAATTTTCTATTTTTAATAGATATTCAAATTATAAACATCAGATATATTTGCGAAAGTATAATAAAACCAAGAGTTCAATAAAATATTTAATCTAAATAATACATTAATATTATATATTAATAAAAATTTATTAAATTAAAATAGTGAAACACTGTTAACATTAAAATCGTACCACTTTTCAACAATCCTTCATTTAAACACAAAGCCCTGTCTAATTTGGGCAACTTTAAGATTTTTGCTCAACTTAGACAGTTACCCAATTTATCAAAACAATAGCTGTTATTACGAATTTGATTGGGTCACAAAGTTTTAATTAGGTCGTTGCCCGAATTATCGAGCGCCCAAATTAGAAAAGTTTAACTGTACGTAAATTTTTACAGGAAAACAGATATTTAATGTAACGATATAAATATGTGTTTTGCTTACTTTTTCGGAGGCTATTTTCTTTCAAGGCACAGATTATAAAATTCAATTATTTTTTTTTATGAAATTTGATTTAAATCAAAAAAATCGTGATTTAATTCTAATGATTCAATTTTTTTTTTTTTAAATTATGATTTTTGCCAACACCCTCAACAAACAGTGTTCCATCAGAATCACATTTTGGAGAATTTGAATATAACCGACTAGTGGAGTAGTCCGAACCCGAATGGCTGACTTTTATCCGAGAGTTGGGATTTGCATGATTACTATATCAAAACTTCTTTTTTGTTTATTTAAGGATTTATACAAATTTTTATGATAATGACAACCATTTTAGGCGAATATCGGGTTTCGCTCGAAGAAAGCAATTCGATGTAACCCTCTACCTAGGAGATACTATTTTGTAATGAATACCACACCTTATCTTCTCTATCCGACTAGCCTCAATCGAATATTCGTTTTGTATCAGTCGAATCGAATATTTTAAATACGTATCGTAAATTGATCGATTTAAGAATAATTATAATAAATACAGCTTATAAAAATGCATAATTATACATTATAAAAATAAAAGTGTATAACTGTTAGTTGTTAATAATTTTATTTGACTTTTTTAAAAAACTCTTTAAATTAGAATTTATATTTCAATAAATACAATTTCAAATATTTGATAATCATTTTTTTATAAGCATAATTTAATAGGATTTTATAAATATAAAAGTATTTTATGATAACAATTAGTGAAGGTCACGATCCTGTCTTTGGTCTGGACTGGATCAACGCACTCGGGCCGGATTTAACGTTTATTTGTTTGTTATTTTAAACATATTTTCGTTTTTAACCTAATTTAATTCTTGTTTACTAAGGTCTATAAGTAAAATGCTTCCTTGACAATCCACGGTTTTCATATTGCGAAATATAAGAATGAATTATAAATTCACAAAAACTAAAATAACTCCTTAGGAAAATATACAAAAAAAATTATATTAATTAAATAATAAACAAATTTAAATATTAATAAAAGACTGGTTCGGGCTGTCATCCTCAAAAAAGATTGGTTCGGTCACTGTCTAAGACCGACCATTGACCTTTTCTATTAATAATGTAAAATCAAAGATGAATAATATAATTAATAATACAAATATTTAATTAATTGTAATCGTCAGTTATGGTTTGAGGATAAGTGTTTGGAGTAATATACGTAGTTATTATAACGGTACTTTGAGTTGGTGTACTTTTAGTTGTCTGTAGTAAATTGTATAATCTTCGTCAATTATGTGGAGGATAATTGGTTTAGGTTGTTTATGTAGTTATAACGGTACTTCTAGATGGTGTACTATTATGATGAATTTTATTATTAGTAGAGTATTCGATTCGTGGATATATATATAAAAAAATTTTCTATATAAATATCATTTTAAAGCTTATTACTTTTAACTTCCTTTATTTTTTATTTTTTTTTAAAGTACATGGAAAGGTATACACTAAACAAGAAGAAATACGAATACTGAAGATTTCCTCAAGAAACAAAATCATTATTGGGTTTTTTATATTCGAGTTTATAGCTAGCTTTTCCCTTTATTTCCGTTATTTATTTCTGTAAATATTTATTTTGCGCAAAAGAAAAATCGCTCTATAATTTTTAATAAATTATTATAACGAAATAAAAACATTCCGAGAGCATAAAATTATATTAATTTTTCTTCATACTTAGGATTTTTTTTTGTAATTATTATTAGTTATAAAATGATGAATTAACTTTTGTTAAGGATTCCCCGAAAATAATATACCCTCACCTCATTGCTTTTTACAACAGGTGATTTATTTAAATTTCTATTCGTCTATTTATTATCACTTGACCTGTCAGATTTGATAGGGGTATTAATAAAAAATGGTTAAATATCTTAAAGCTGACCCATATCTCTCAATTCTTTAATTAACCCTAAATCATATTCTCTCCAACCTTTAATCCTACTCATTACTTCAGATACTTGCTTAATCTATATATATTCTAATTTTAAAAAAAATTCATTTTCAGTTGAACATTCCTTGAAATCAGCTATTTTCTATTTTTTTAAATCAACAGGATATACATAGTAAAAAATTAACAAATGTCTTCGGTTCTATTAGACATAAATATATAGGGTTTTAACTCAGGTATAGGGTTTTAACTCTAGTGTTAATAAAATAATCGATTTATCTCAGAATCAGAAATATCTTAATTAAAATCAAACAACGGTAAAAAAAAACAGTCAACATCTAAATGTTATCTATAATTATTGATCTTTATATAAATAATTTTGTTTTTCTTGTTAATATGAAAGTAAATTTATATGTACATTAAATTAACCGTCTCTTGTTAAATAAAAATTAAATCAATTAATTAACAAAAACAAAATCTATTAATAATATAAAATAAACAATTATAAAATTGCGAATCATATTACAACAGAATGTTTAGTTGATGTAAAAACTAACCCATTATTTTTTTAAATATAACCAGTGAGGTAGCCATAAAATTGGCGAAATGGTCACGTTATTCCTCAAAAAAAATAGGTCGAGGTACGCAAAAACAGGTCTTTTTTTAAACTAGTTTTAAACCGTTTTATTTTAAAATATCAATTTTTTAAAAAATTTTGCTAATTTTATTATATTTGAAATAAATTTATTCAACCAATACGCTTTTTATTTATTATTTTATTTTTAATTTGGGAAAGGGTTAACTTTAAAAACCTTAAAAATAAACTAATCTTAAAAAACCGTATAATTTGCACCCTATAATTGTATCCTTTATCATATATTAGTGATATCCAGGTCCGAAATTTTTATTTGTACCGAAAAGCCCGACCCGAAATAAAAATTATTTGTCCGCCCAACCCGGCCCGAATTTATTTAAATATAGATAAATATTCTACAAATAAAAAATATTAGCACCTTGTTTTTTGCAAGAATTTTAACAAAATGTAAATATATCATATTTAAAAATTTAAACCCAGCCCGAAATTGTTTAGAAAATAGACCGCTTGGGCCGTGAGTTGAGATTTTTAATATATGCACAACCCTAAATCAAATGAGAATCGCCCTAAATTTTATTTTAATAACTTAGTTAATACATTTCAACATACAAGATAAAGGTTTTTATTTTCTGTTTTTAAGTTTAATATTAATGCCTTCTAATTGTTTTGTGTTTAAAATAGATTTTATTTTAGATTTATATTTTTATTAAATATTGCGCCCTTATCCAACATAGTTAAAAAAAATTTAAACTCAAACTTCATAAACATGAAATCCTACGAAGAAAAATTTATGAAGCTATTGATGATTAGTCGTGAAACTATTCATAATCCAATATTCAATCTAATATAGACATTCTTGTGTTAGTGGAATTATTTTTTGAATGAAATTCATATTTTTAAAGGGAATCATTCTATTGGTATACTTACAATAAGAAAATCATTTTATAAGTTTTACATATAACTAGACCTGTGCGCCGACGAAATATCGGCGGCCGGCGCAATTTTTAAAAAATCTAATCGACGGCCGGCGGCGTGCCGATTTTTAGCCGCCATCAATAAAATCGGCGCATATATAAATTTTTATAAGATAAATTTTTTTCAATTGCTTATTAATTAACAAATAAATATACACTATTCTACAGTTATCTCGGCATATTTTTTAATATTCATTTAATAGAAAACTTATATCCAGAATCGATTTCGTAATTTAATTATGTATAAAAATTATTTTATTTAAATTTTTGTTGATCTCCTTGAATTTAACTTTAATCCAGCGTAAAGAAAACTCTTTCACTGGGTGTGCTAGTCACCGGAATGCAAAGAATTTTTTTGGCGAGCCTGGTAAGATTGGGAAGTTCATTCTTTTCTCTCCAAAAATTTAGAACGTCCATATCTTGTGAATGTCGTTTTCCAAGAAAACTGTGGCATTCTTGTTCTAAGTCACATAACTTGGAATCATAATTTATATTTGTTGAATGTTTATTTGCCAATTTTGTCAAATAACTTGAATTTAGTAATTCATCCTCATTAGCTATATTTACTACCTGATTATCATCATTCTCTATAAGTTTAAGATGTTTTATTATAAATTCTGAAGCTGAGCAATTTTGCTCTATTAAATACTTAGACACAATTGTCAATTTTTAAAATCTTGGATCTAAAAGAGAAGCCAATACCTAGATAATTTTAAATAAAAAATAAAAGAATATACTTATATAATATTACTTGCAGATTACAAACCGGAGATCGTAACGCAAGTTTTATTAGCATATTTTCCTTAAGTGAAATAATTTCAGAACTATCAATATCATTTACTATTAAATGTGTTTCAATTTCACTTCTAAAAAGTAACGCCAAGTTTAAAGTAGGCCCTTTTAGTACAGAAAGAAATTCGACAGTTTTTTTAAATTTTGAAAGAAATGCTAATAGTTCTTCTACCAGATCAGATTCATAATTTGAGAAAGTGCTTCCCAATTCTTTTCAAAACATTATTAATTAAATTCTTATTTAATCCAGATATGCTTTCTAGCATAATTAATATACAATGCCAACGTGTTGGGATATTTAATTTTAAGGTTTTCATATGCGTGGAATTATTGTTATTATTATCATTGGAATTGCCAATTTGAAACCAGGTAACAGGGTATGGATCAATGCTGTCAAGATCTAACATGTTTCATGTTAAATCTATTGTACTTAGGCATTTTCTTTGATATTCCTCGAATTCAAATTCAACCTCTGCAGTTTTATATCTTAGAGCAGTAATAATTTCTCTAATTCATTTGCAAAAAATTTCCAGACTATGGATTTTTTATTATCCAGAGTTAGGATACTAAAATTATTTAAATTATTAAAGTAGATGCATCCATTTTAAAAATATGTAAAATTATGGTAACTTTTGGAATTTTAGATTTTTGATTGATTGAATTCTAATGACGTCAATATAATTAAGATTTTAAAATAGTAGAAAATAAAAATTCATCAAAATCCTGATTGACATTAAAAAAATTACAAGAGTGATGTTGACCAATTATTAGAATAAAAAGGTAGAAAGAAATTTCTGAGCCGGCGTGATTTTCTTAAAAGGCGGCGTTTTCGGTGTAACCAGGCCGACCGGCGCACAGGTCTACATATAAATATTTTTTATTTTAAACTTCGTAAAATTCTGCCATTTTTGATGTAAATAAAAGCTTTTGCTTGGTATGTCAACAAAAGCAAAAAAGACTCAAATAAAGGAAAGGATATGATTCAAAATAATTTTCAGTGATAAAAACAGATTTGCGCTTCACAGAGTTGGGCATAATTACTCAAAAATCGTAATGAATTCCTAGTTACTATTAGAAAAAATTTTGTATTTAGTTATAACTACAAATTCCTATTCAAACGGTATTTAATTATTTCACGTAATCGTGATTTTCTAGAGTAATCATAATTACATTTCCTTTTATAGTAAACTTAAAAATCAAGGTATGAAATGATTACAAATTATAAAAAATAACTAGAAACTTTCAATGGAAATCTTTTTATTTTCCACTTGCAAAGAACCCCGAGCGTTGCCTGCTGCGTCGCTCTTTCCTTCACTGCTAAATAGCTCGGGGCACTAATTCCTTTAAGCTATCCTTTCTCTTAATCTTCAATTGCTCGTAAAAATGAGCTTACACACATGCCATTGATATTCGCCTTAACTCAATTACCCAACCTCTTGTTCCGATTACAATGATGTTATAAGGACTCGAGAGCGGTATAGACTTGCACTGCCATTCATGCAGAAGGTGTATCCCTAGACATGATAAGAGCAATGCCATTATTCAACGTGCCCCTAAATCTGCCCAGTTTCCATCGATCCTTTTGGTTGTTTTATTTCTCCATTATTTCATTATTTTTTAAAGTAGATATTCGGTATAATAACAAATTGTTATTGATTTTTACAAGTATAAATAAAATGTCAATTCTTATGTATAAAATTTTCTGTATTTTTAGTGCTTTTAGATCTGTTAGTAAGTATTAGAGGTGGGCGTGGGCTTAATTTTTTATTCACGGCTCACCCGCTCACGGTAGCAATAAAAAAAATCCACGCCCATTCACGCTTACCACTAAAAAATTTTTGACCCGACCCGCCCGCTCACGAAAAGCAATATTCTGATTCACGCCCATCACCCAAAAATTCACGGTGTTTTTAAATTTTTTAAAACTATTACTATAATCTTATTTTTTGAATTCATTAACAAAAAATAAATACAATCTATAAATCGAATTTATTAAGAAAAAGAAGAATGTTCATCTTTTTTTATTTCAATTGTGTACGTCTTTCCTCTAATAAGAGATTTGCTACAGAAAATAACCTTTCACTAGAAGCCGAACTTGCAGCTGACAAAATTTTACTCGATAATTTTCTCAAAAAAGGAAATGAATATTCCTGCTTCCAAAACTTCAAAATATTGTCTTGTTATTTAACTTATATGAATCTTTTAAGTTCACCCTCACAGCTTTCATCGGTGATGTTGATGCTTCATCAGAATCATCTAGAAATTCTTTAAATTTTTCATTTAGAATATACGGTCTTTTATGAGTGTAGGATAAATTAGGAAAGTTATAAATGATAGTTGGTATTGATCATTTAGAATATAATGTTTTTTATGAGTTTAGGATAAGTTAGG